ACCATTGAAACCGATATACAACGTACAGGCACCATCCAGAAACACAGATTGCCCGTCGTCGTCCAAGCCCGCGATGGCCAACCGCCTCTTGGATTGGTTCTCCGTCGTGATGGCAGACTCCAAGCATCGTCGTCAACATCCCAAACCTAAAGGTTGAAAAATTTGTTATAAATTCTTTGAGAAATTCACTATTAATTCTTTTGTCTAAGATTGATATCTTAGATTGAATCGACATTTGTTACCGACGTACGGTCCTGTACGATCCTCGCAATTTACAATGCGGCATCATATTTGCGTTGTTTTATTAAATTATAATTCAATTCCAAATTGAATTTTTATTTTATAATTTATTTCGTATATTCTCGATCTTGATCGAATTCTTATCCGTATTACTTATGCGTAATGTTTTGAGATTTAATACAGCGAGATTCAGTCGCTTTCGTTGTTGTTAAATATCTTACCACGCCACGCCGAGGTTCTCGTTAAACGAAATGGCTATGTGTTTTGTTAAACATTTTGCATTTTGTGATGCGCATCACATAGACCTACGAAAGTCGGTCATTAAGCAGCTGATGTCTGACAACGCGCATAACCGCGGAATGCGCTTTAAGCGCATTGAAACATTTCGTGGGACGTTGAGGGGCTCGTACAACGGGTACAAGGGAGACTAATTGTCCTCGTAGAATTGTCCTCATTGTGGACAGACACCACGCGAACGTACGTGACGCTATCCCAGTGGTAGTTCCCAAGTAGTACCGACAGTGAACACCATTCGGCTTGGAGACAATCAGTTTCGTACCCGATCCGAAATTGTCCCCCATACAATGAATCGTTTCCCGCCCCGGTTACGTCGCGATTACTTTGGGCGGTACTGTCTGTCGATATTGTCCTCTCGGTTCCCATGTTGATCTTACGGTATTACATCGCCCGAGGCAAAACAAAGTGTATGCGCGTAGCTATGCAACTGACGAGATCTCATCTGAATCGAGATAGTTTGACTAACCATCTTCGCGGGGAGATTGAACTATCCCTCCCCCCCCCCTCCCACAAACGGGAGGATAGTTCAAAGATTGTAATCATGGAAGAGTCCAACCTCGAAGAAATCGACCGATATAATATTTACGTTTCTAAACGAGTTATTTTTTGCATTATACACAAAGAGTGATGACGTCATATTGGATAAAATAAACAAGCGAATTTCTCTCTGACTATGCTGAATTATATCAGATTGAAATTGAAATTAGATTGGAATTTGACCAATCCGAACAAGGTTCGCTAAACTTGAATGATTTCCTTTTTTCCGATTGGTTAAATTTCTAATCTAATCTCCATCTCTATCTCAATCTGATACTCTGACTCTTTAAATATTCTCTGTCCTATCCGTAAAGTTAACGAAACACACACGGAGACATATGAAACATTGGTATTTTTACTTGATATTTTACATCAATATTAGTGTTAAAAA